ATAGTGCTAGTGATACCTACAAAAAAAAAATAAACTTACGAAACTTGCCCCCCCCCCCCCCCCCCCCCCCTGCTCCCCTTCATCGTGGTAGTATGAGGAGGAGGAAGGGTAGGAGTATCCAAGGTTGCAGTAGTAGCCATCTTAGTAGTACTAGTAGTAGTAGTAGTAGTAGTAGTAGTAGTAGTAGTAGTAGTAGTAGTAGGAGCCGGTTGAAAGGACACTCAGCACGTTCAGGGTATTGTTCGCTTAAAGGTGATCAGAGTGCTCTTTTGTGTCCTTCCTTCCAGGCTAGTAGTAGTAGTAGTAGTAGTAGTAGTAGTAGTAGTAGTAGTAGTAGTAGTAGTGGTGGTAGTAGTGGTGGTGGTGGTGGTAGTAGTAGTAGTAGAGTAGCAGCAGCAGTAGCGGCAGCGGCAGCGGCAGCGGCAGCGGCAGCGGCAGCGGCAGCGGTAGCAGTAGCAGTAGCAGTAGCAGTAGCAGTAGCAGTAGCAGTAGCAGTAGCAGTAGCAGCAGCAGTAGCAGTAGTGGTAGTGGTAGTACGGTAGTAGTCGCAGTAGCAGTAGTAGTAGTAGTAGTCGTCGTCGTCGTCGTCGTCGTGGTGTTAGCAGCAGCAGCAGCAGCAGCAGCAGCAGGAGTAGTAGTAGTAGTAGTAGTAGTAGTAATAATAATAGTAATAGTAGTAGTAGTAGTAGTAGTAGTAGTAATAATAAGAATACAAATTATTAGTAGCTTGGTATCAGTTAGTGGGTCGCCGGTAGTATGTAGTAGGTAGGACGTAGTCTGGTGACGTAGTGGGTAGGAAGTTGTGGGTCGTAAGTCTTAAGTCTTAACTCACATGTAGAGTCGAAGTAGTATGGTTTTGGGTTGTGGGACTCGTCGTCGGGTCATGTTGATGTATTTGAATACGGAAGTCCCAGGGTTAGACTTCGACTTCAATGCATAACTTGAGGTTGGGCACTTCGTAGGGGGGGCACTGACTGGATTTTCGAGTCACAAGTTAGAACGTGCAGTGGCATTGGTGTACCGATGAACCGCTGTGGCACACATGGCATGACATGTCCTCGATATGCCTGCAGTGCTAGAAGCACAAACCAATAGATTAGCTTAACCGGGTAACCTAAACTTATGATCGAGCGACCTGCACATGTGCCTCGCTCCATGCCTTGTCGAGCTCTGGGTCGTGCACAGCATCAAGATCTGCAGGTGCAGGTGCAGGAAGTACGTCTGTGCCTGACAAGGAAATCGCTAGCGGTTCGTGTTTGGGGTTTGCAGAATCAGTGTTCAGATTCTAAATGTTGACTGTTGTTTTTCAGTCTGTCGACGTTGTGACTTTGGTGACATTATGTTGATACTGACACTGCTACGATGCTACTGCTACAAGGTGATACCTGTCACGAATACAGCTAAGGCTCCAAGGACCGATCGCCCATGTACAAAGCGCAACCTTCGGGGACTAGAGGGATAAACTCCTCGCTTGTTGGAAACCAGTGACAGAATCATGGTGAATACCTTAGCCAACAAGATGTACTCGGCACACACTCGAGTTCATATTCGAACCCGAAACCTCATCGAAGTCATCATGTCATATGAAGATGACAAGCATTTAAATCTAGGTCTTTTTAGATTCTAGATTCTAGATCAAGCAGTTTGCCATCACTCGGGCCAAGATCACATGCTTGTTCAGATATCACAACCTCTGTTTCCTAGGATCTGTTTCTCCTTTCTCTCGCGCATATCCACATGAGGCTGCAGTTTGGAGTTTGGATCTCGGGTTTAAGTTTATGTCTAGAGTCTAGAGTCTAGATGCAAGGCCGTAAGACATACCGGTCGCGCTAGCTACTCGTCAATGCACAAAGATGCATGTCTTAGTTGTAATTTGAACGAATATGTTCAGACTGTGCAGACGACCCTTGGCTCAGACCCGAAATGCCTACACGGTGGGGCCTAAAACTTTAAATTTCCCAGGCCATACATCCTACAGCATTTTGACTTAAACTTAAACGCTGAACGACATTAACTTGCCTATGTACCGTGTCCCGCAACCCGCGAAAGAGAGGTAACATCTGAACCCGGAATCGGCCTGAAACTTCAAACCGTAACGCTAGAAACTGCACCTTTAGTTGCCAGTTGCCAGCCTACCTGTCCTTTGCTGACGTCTCCTCATCAAACGAGAACACTTTACTGTCCAGGGTTGGGGTTTAGGTCCAAGGAGTCCTAGGGTTTGGTTTCCTAAAGTTTCGTACGTTTAGATAAGCTGCAGTTACAATTACAATTTAGAGTTTGGATCCCGATCGACTGAGTTAGTGTCTAAGGTTCTGAGCCGCCGGTTTGGACTTAGTTTAAAGTTTAGACTTCAGTGTTCAATAATTCAGATAGCCCTGGCAGGAAGCCGAAGAAGTACATGCAGGACTCATAACCTATGACTTATAACTTATTACCTACAACTCATAATCAGGAGATGGCTGGCCAAGTCCATAGCCCCGACTTCAGCAATAGCAGAAATATTAGGAACAGACAATACAACACTCTAGTCTACTCAATATGTTTCATACCTTCGAATATGTGCACCATACCCATGATTTTGGACAATGATCATGCCAAGCTAACCTGAACATATAGTTCATCTATACTTCGGAAACCCCCCCCCCCCACCTGAAAGTCTGAAAGACCAGGACACCTCATCGACTTTCAAGACTCCAAAGACCAAAGTCTATATACTATATACTACTATATACTATATTATATACTATAGTACTATGGAATGGATCTGTAGACTACAGACCCCAGCTTAAAACTTAAAACCGAGTGTAACAGTCTAATCCATGTGGGTGCCTGGCGTGCTGGAAGTCGCTCTTGGCGCTCTCTTGCGTCTCACACCAGACGCTGCTCGGGAGTTTGCTTTCGGCTTGGCTTTGCTAACTCCTGCTAGCTGAAGGAAACTTGCAACACACTGCATGGATTCTTCCTCCTCCGATGCACTCCCTTGCTGTTTGATGTGCTCCTCACCCAAGGTTTCCCATTCTGCTGAGCTGAGGCTGTCGTGCGGCAGGAGCAGCCTGTTCAATTGTAGCACCTTTGAGCGTGTTTGGTTTGGGTTCTGGGTGATCCTGGTCTACCACATTAGAGTCTGCCGCGAAAAGCTTAGGGACACGCTAGACTCCTAGACTAGACTCCCAGACCAAACTGGCCAAACATTGCCAAACATGTACAGTTCACTCCGCAACACTGCGTAGACTCGTCTGCCACGCGAACAACACGAAGACCATGTGTATGTGGCTGTAGCTCATGTACCGGCAAGCACGCGCATAAACAGAAACAAGTTTTGCCACTCACTCCATTACACTGCGCTGGTCCGCTACCAGCCGCTACCTCTTCCGGAACTCAACTCTCGGCACTCAACACTCAATACAAATTAAATCAACCGTCATACCCCAGTCGTTCACATTGATACGGCAACCAGGATAGTTCTGCGATGGCACTACGTAGTACGATAGCCCCCACCGAGGCTAAGCTCTAGATTACTCTAGACTCTAGACTCTAGATTCTAGATTCACTAGAATCAGGGGTCCAGAGCCCAGAGCACTGAATATAACAAAATTATAACACGGTTCGCCACCGAGATTGCTTATCCAATGTCTAGTTTCTAGCCTAGACTCTAAGCTCTAGACTCTAGACTCTAGACTCTAGACTGTAGATGATAGATTCAAGACACAGACTATGCCTTGATAATTTAACTTAGTTGTTTAAAGTCAAAGTTTAAAAGTAGTTTAAACTTCAAATAAAATTAGAACCTATGCCCAAGCTCCTAGTCCTAAACTGGTCCTAAACCTAAACGTAGATGTGGTTATCTGACTAAGTGACTAACTGTCGCGTCGAAAGACTCCTGCTTCATTGATTCATTCATTAACATAAAGGCTGACATGGAACACCCGAGATCGCGTCACATATTGTCATTCCCCGGAGTGGCGTACATCTCCTGACTCCTCTTGCCGGCAGGGCACTTCGTAGGGCACCAGACTCCATTGGCGGTCAGACACTACCGCTTCAGACAGTTGATCAGCCAATTCACAATGAGTCAGGATGTATGGGGCATCGCTCACAAATCGCGGCTGCAAGAGAACACCGCGGTTGTGAGACAACCCAGTGTTCTGCCATCTCCAGAAATCCGCTTGGTATGGCGAAAATTGAGCTCGGCACATCAGCCAAAAGGAGCAGTCGGCAGCGTTCCTTGGGTCCATGTGTGACCATTCGTATGCTTCCATACCGCACCTGTGGGTTGGGAAACCTGGAACCCATATCGGTTTGATTCTTTGATGGGCCTAACACTTCCAGTTTCGGGCAGCATGTGGTTTTGTATCCCGTATCGGCTTCCACTACAAAACAATGTGGTTTGACTTATCTGCTTCAGTCGTCAGTCTAGAATCTAGAATCTAGAGTCTAAAGGCTGAGTTCAGACTCAGACTAGACAACAGCGACTACAGCTTAGGTTCATGTTTCTGTTTTTTTATTTTCTAGTTACTAGTTGTTGAAGTAGTAGTCTAGGTCTAGGTCCAGGTAGGTATTGTTTAGTTTAGTTTAGCCGTTTAGCCATTTGGCCTAACGGCCTAGCTCAACTACTGCTAATGTTATGGCTATGGACACGTAGTATAAGACAGTGTACTCTCTAGACTCTAGACTCTAGACGTTAGACTCAGACCCTAGGCACTAGGCCTATAGTGAGAGTGTAACGTATAGTATAACTGTATAACTGTAAACTGCAAACCAACATGCGGTGTGGGAATGAGTTCGATAATTTTGATAGCCTTAGACTTAGACGACATCTCACTTCCCGTCTTTCAGTACATACTAGTACATACCTAGTATATCAATAACTTGAAACCTGAAACAGAAGAGGTGTAAGTTATGAACTCAATGAGCGGCATACAGTTCGGCCCGTAATCTTGGAATGGCAACCAAATTCAGTCCGACTGCAATCTCAAAACTCAGTGCTCAAGACTCACGACTCAAGACCCGTGGCCTGAAACTGCACTCTGAAGCTTGAGACCCGTGGCACGTGACAATGATTCATGACTAAAATTAAAAATTAAAAGGAATCTTGGGACGAGCCACGTCTTGTGCTTGATCACCAACAATGGATGCTGCACCGAGCAGTTCGGACCTGTGTTCCGCTTGCTGACCACGAACCTCTGCCGGTACTCGCTCACAAAGGTGAGCAACTGCTCGGAAAGCATGTCCTGCAGCATACCGTTTTTGATTTTACTGCTGCACAATGTACACTTGAACTCTTCGTGGCACGACATTGCCGTTGACTGTTTGAACTCATCGGCTTCTCCAACACGTCCCCTGCTGCGTGCACGCCATGCACCGTCCAGTCTTGTCACGAACTGTTTTCCTGTCCCTTGTGTAGCAGCTTCATCCTGTTGCAGGCGACGAACCAAGCTTCGGCTGAGTGCAAATGACCTGTCACCTGCGCCCATAGCACCGATTCCTTGGTATGGTGCCACGAAATCCACACCTCGAGCGTTCGTTGATGGGGTCGTCAATACCACCGCATCCGGCGAACCTGCCTCTGCCACCTGCTGATGCTGCTGCCGCTGTTGTTGCTGCTCGGGATCACTCGAACACGCTGGTGTTGCTACCTGCTGCGCCTGCGCCAGCCTTGCCGTGGCGGCTGCAGTGCGGTTGTGTGCCTGCGCCCGTCCAGTGTAGGGCGCACGCTCGGCTGCGGACATGCGGTTCCATTCTTGAACTGCTTGCTGGAACGTGCGCTTCCGACAGTTCTCGGTCGATTCACCAGGCAACAGCACACGGGATGCCATCCGATCTTGTAACAAACATACCCAACCATTGAGCTTTCCCGGGACGGTGCCTGGCAAGTGTAGAAGTGTTTAGGTCTAAAGTGTCTAAAGTCTAAAGTTTAAAGTTTAAACTGTTCAAACTTTAAACTTCCAGCTGTTTTAAGGATATATGTGTGAAGGTGAATAATCAACGGTTCTATCTTGGTCTTAGTCTTAGTCTTAGTGTCTTAGTCTGTCTTCGAGTCCACTCACTACTCAGACTTACTGTCACTGTTACTATACTTACTATACTATGGTTCTAAGTTCTACGACTGTAAGACTGATCATCGATAACTATAACCGTTCAAACTAGTTACTAGATTCACTAGATATTAGGCTAGGCGAAACAGCTACAGTTCTCGGTTCGTTAGTCAGATAGACTGTTACTGTTACGGATACAGTCGGATACAGTACACTGTGTGTTGGTGCATCTGGCGCTCACGACTTGCCTGATATTGTCATTAATTCTTAATTCTTAGTTCATAGGTTAATACTATAGAATATGGAACTTAAAAAAAATGTATGACGACTCACGATACGTACGTGTATCCGCGCCTATCTGGTATTTCTGAATGGTTTTACATGTTCATACACATGAACTTACATGAACCCAACCTAACCTAATCCTAGTCCTAGTCTGAATCTTAACTGCTTAAGCTGCTTAAGCTTAGCCTTGACTGCTAACTGCAAGCTTTGCTTGTAATTGCAGCAACGTCGATGTTACATTCGCACTTCGCATTTTTTTTAACATCTACAACTATTCCGGGTTTCACTGTGCAAACAAATACTACGTGCTAAGTTCCGTAAAGCCATGTCCGAATGCATTTCATGACTGCAATAGTTAATAATTGATTTGACTGGTTTGACATAGAGCTATAAGGTACAAGTTATACGGATATAGCATACTAAGTATAAAGTATACTGTAAATTTTATGTAATAGTTAATAGTATAGGTATAAGTTATACATTCTTATTGGGTTACCTCAAGAGTCGTAGAACCCCGCGTCAACTAGTGACTACCATTATTGAACCATTAATCATTAAATACAACTTTAAACTGTTGATCTGTGCTGTACATAAAACTGTAACTGTAACGTACCAAACTCTGAATTCGGTCAAACGATATATATAACGTTGGTTGCATGAACCGGTCAACAGCTAGCTCATTTGATCTAACAATGACAACCTATCATAGCTTGCGACACTCGACCGCTCGACTCTTTCGATTTGAAAACAGGTGTTGGGGATTGGAAACATTGAAACAATCTAACTTGTGCCTCCCGACTCATCGTCCACGGTAGCAACGCTGGCAGGGACACGGCTTGTGATATCGGAAAGGTGGCACCGCTTGGCCTCACTCAACACATGCTTAGCCGCCATGCTCGTGCTCAATGAAGTTCGCGCTTGGGCTGCCTTCTGTGCTCTGGCAAAGTTGTTTTCGGCCTCTATGTTTGTGTTCTTTCCGCAGAATGCAAGTTGCAGCACACCATGCAAGGATCCGTCAGGCAGCAGATCGTCCGCTCCCGAACACTTAGAGTGCAGGAGCTTGCTAAATGCTGCGTCCAGGCAGCAGTCACCACACGTGTTGACAAACCAGTGGGCGATGACGCGCCTCGCATCCATGGACACATCCTCATCCACCAGACGAGCCAGGCAGAGCGGCAGAGTTTGATAAGGCCGGACGAGCCTGGCTGTCAATTGTCCAATGGCCGTCACGAGACACCAGAAACACTTGTCGAAAAACCATGGTGGTGTTGCTGAAGACATGCCTCAGCTTGCCAGGCCCATAGTGTGCGGTTGCAACCCCATCATCTCCGACTCCAATGACCCGGATACGACCAGTAGTTGATGAGTTAGCATTATTGACATTGAGTAAACAAATGAGTAGTACATTGTTAGTTTAAGTTTAACGGCTTAACTTGACAAACTAAATAAGCAGTCAGTAATTAGCCATAGCAAATATTCTTGCATAGTGGCATTGTGTGGGCTGTACACTAAACCCGAGAACCCCCAAACCCTAAACCCGATAAACCTTACACACGATAAACTGTCATAAACCCAGCCTTAAGCCCTACACCCCAAACACTCAACCCAAGGACCTTTAGCTTCAAATTCGCTTCAAATTCGCTTCAAATTCGCTTCAAATTCGCTTCAAATTCAGTTCAAATTCGGCTCCTAAACCCTAAACTTCCTAAATCCTAAACCCCTAAGCCTTAAACCCCATAACCTAAAGGACCTAAACCCTGCCCCAAAGGTCTATACACCACCTAAAACGGCGGGAACGCTGCATAATGTGACTGATGCGACAGCAACACTCCATGACAAAGTGCACAAGGTTGCCTAGATGTGATTCCATGTCAGCGCTAATCCGTATACGGGTTGCACAGCACTGTCCCGAGTCCCGAGGATGCGTGTCTTAGCATTTCGCATATTGAATATTGAAATATGTGACGATCACACTATGCTTGCGGCGGGGGGGTCATTCATGTTTACAAACTTTTACGTTGATATCAGTTTCGTTGCTTGTCATCTAACATGTCCCGTAAGCTATTAAGGTTTGTGTTATATCTAATTACCTAATTTTTAATTGACTTAATTGTGAGGTGTGTGTGTAACATGTAACATAATAGTAACATATAATGTGTCTATATTGTATAATTTACTTGTCTCTCTCTATACACACGCATATATATATATATATATATATATAGATACGTCATAACTAAATATATCTGCATAATTTTCTACGACATTGGAAGCTTACGGACCTCAGAGACACTACAAATAGGCCCAGAGCGTAGCAACGCCAAGACATACTTGTTAGTTATTAGTTCTTAGCAACATAAAAATAATCGTAAAGAAAGGAGCTCTGTTCGCATGCCAGCCACGTCAGGCCACACAACTTGGCATTCCGAAGGAACACCGAAGAGAAGAGAAGACTCTCTGAAAAGAACGTTGTGTGAGTGTTAGACTTAGACAGGGTTAGTTGTTAGTTGTTGGTAGTTAGATTCGGTGAGTGTTTTAGCCGAGTCCAGCGTAGTGGTTTTTGTCAGCTTAGACTTGATACTCCAGCGCACTTGGGACGGGTCACGTCAAGCGGTAGCGGCTCCGCGTTGACTGGGATTTAAAGTGCAAGCTTACAGTTTATAGTTTATAGTATTCATACTTTCATAAATGTACAGTACAGTCTAAGTCTACATTGTACACTGTACACTTAAACTCATACCAATTGACACTTTCTTTAAAACTTTAAATCTGGTCCAAACCCAAACTTAAACTCGGTTCGTATTTTTCATCAGTACCACGTAAGTGTTAGTATTATTATGTGTATTCATACATTATCCTGCTTATTGGCACTATACTATACTAGTGACTTAGAGACACACTGTTACCGTTACCACAGTTACCGGTTACCACTGACTCACTAGTAGTACTATATCTACATCCTGTAACATGAATGCTAAAGCTGCCCATGTTCCATCTGCGATCTCCTGCAGTGATGGCTGTCCGGGACCTGTGCAGCCTGTCTCCATGATGTCAGACAGTTCACTGACTGCTCTCGCTGCTGGAGACCTTCCAGCATTCGACATCTGGACCAAGGGCGAATCCTTTGGTGACCAGTGCAAACCTTTCTCTTGCCATGACATGAATGTCCACATTACACGCTCCATCGGTCCAACGACAGCAGCGGCAATCGTAAGATCATACACAGTGGTGGGGTCGTTGAGCCAACAGTAGCTCTTGTAGGCCTTGATCCGCATGGTTTTCTGAAAAAGCGTAGCTGTTCCGCTGCGAACAGGCTCCACTGCATCTAGCAGGACGTCAGAAGCAGCAATCTCTCTGTACTCATCGGCATGTCGTTTGAGTGAAGCAGGGCTCATGTTGTGGAGTCTGCTGAAGCCCTGCAGCAGGATCCCATGGTACGCGCTGGTTAGCCTCGAGGGAGTCGACACAACCAAGACTCGGACGCAGACTCAGGCTGCAACGACAATGTGAACATAAGTCATGAGTCAAGATTCAATATAGTTATATAGTAGTGAAGATACAGAGCATTCCAAGCACGGAATGTATGTAAGCGGGAATCAAATGATACTGCGACATGACATGTGAAATGTGACACGTGACATGACATGACTAGAAGTGACTAACATGACACTGTGAAGACGACAAGCGAATGAAACGATTCGCAAGGATGAACAGTATAAAAGTAACTAAGTAAAAAAAGAGTACCATAATTCATAATTCCTAATTCACATAATCATAATCACGTACTTGAAACGAGGAACTTTACTCCAAACTGGACTCGCTATGTCACTACAATCACTAATCACTAAATAACATTAAAATTACAAGTTGGACCAAAACCCTTTGTAGTTAGTAGTAAGTACTAACTAACTTACTCTGTACTTTCCGATTTCCGACCAACGCTGATTCGTACACTTATACTTGGTCGCCCCAGTGAACAAGCGGGGTCGGCTAATCTGATGTACTGTAGTATTAGGTAGCATTAATTACTTACTGATGGGTGTGGGGCCAACAGCCAACAACCCACCGAACGACTGACTCACTGAGCTCATGCAAAGCAAACCTTCCACGCGAGTCACATCGTGGCTGCTGCTATGGTACGCGCGCTCGAGGTGGATCAAATGCAATACAGTTAACCGATTTAACCCTCAGTTCAGTCATAGGCAGGCCGCAAGAAGTATCGTGCCGACTTCCCGCAGAGCGTCCATCGCGACACGGCCGGCGTTGTCGGCTTGACACCGAAAATCAATGCCTGGCCAAAGCCAGGACTCAATCCCCCATCCCCTTACCTGCCAGCTGATGTGCGACAACTCTACAGTCCAGAATCTGAAATCTAGTCATCCAGTCAGTCACTAGTCTTGAATCTTTAACCTACATCACCCCCTTCTACATATTCATTCAACAGTACTGCATGTCTCAAGCGGGGTTGCCGTGATCAGAATCCACAATCGTGCCCG